AAGAAAATTTCTATGGCTTTTTTTCTAAGAACACGCCTAAATAAAACCATATATTTCAACATATACCACAAATTTTATGCATGGAGGTTCCGTTTGCTCGATATGGCTCCTATTTGGCTACTATACAATTACAGCTTCCATTTGGGACTTAACCGAATCACTAGCCATTTGCCGAATATACCCTTTGCAATGCGCAGGTAATATTTTAATAATAATGATGTGTCAAGCAATATTGATAGGCATACACTTGCTAAAGTGTCGGTTAAAAATTATATATACAAAAGCTCCAGTAAAATTTAATTTTGGGTTGACAGCGGGTCAAAAATTCTAAAAATACAAGGACTCAAAACGGTCGAATATTGCAGAATGATTGGAAAGGGTTAACCGTTGGTGCTTAACTTGGTTAGACTAGTATTTTTTTTCCTTGAAACGAGTGTTTCATATATACTGTTTTGAGCCATCTGGTAAATTTTTGAGCCCTTTGCATTGAAATCTTATTGAAGATTTCTATTTTCGCTTCATGAGTATCTCAAAGTTTTTCAGAAGCCTCTTGAATACTGACAGTTACGTAGATCGTCAATTTCGAACAAAAAAGAAAGTTTTTTAGTTTGGGCATAGGTTCGAGCAGCACAAAGAAATTTGATAGCAGCTTATTTTTGCCCAACTTTAAAAAATGGCACATTCCACCATTACGAGTTTATTATTGTTGTTTTGAAAGAATTTTATCTGATATCAAAAATGGCGGATGGGCGGTGGCCCTTTACGACAAATAGCTTGCCAAAAACTGTTCGAACCCAGTTACCCTATATTTGCTCCCGATACAGACAAACCGGCCGTTTGTGTCTATATTTCGGAAGTTCCTTTACGAATTCGGTAAAGGCCATCAACATTTCAAATGGTAAAGCAGGAAACCGAATAGTTTTTTTTAAATTGACTAAACTTTTGTGATTGCTTTAATCCTACAGTGCGATTTGGTACTGAAAGCTTTTAGAGGGAATCGCGCAGTGAATCTGAAAGTGACAGACCTATTGCTCAAGGTGCTTTCTGATACAGAAAATTAGTCGTCGATAAAATATACAAATTTCTGGTTATTAACACACTCATCGGTGTACAGATTCGTCACACAGCTCTTTGGTAAGAGAATCTAATCTAAGAACTAGCCGGTATTGACGTTAGCTATTGTTTATTTCGATTTCATTCGTGCCGTCTCCGATCTAGTCGATTTAAATTTTTATTGGTTAATGTCGACTTTCGCGTTCGGCCCTCATATGTTAGTTTGGTTATTACTTTACCTATCTAATCGGTCATACGTGTACAATTCTCTTTTGAGGCTCCTTCAGGGATCTCCCTTGTATCTCTATTGTATACAACATTTAACCAGAATCTTTTCGGTGTACTTCAAGCACCCTGGGGTCACTGTTGATATGTGAAATTGCATGTACGTATTGCTGAAACGGCTGAAATTATACTCTATAACAGTAATCATATTTTCCAAGCTTTCATGATCCATAATACTTGAAATTATTTCAGATATCGTTCATATTAAAATGCATGTTTGGATAGCGTATCAAATTAGGGATGATTAGACCAGCTTTTAAATAGATACAAAATGACCCACAATCAAATAATTTAGTTCGATTTCATTATCAGTGTAATTACTTGGAAAACTGTTATATTTGAAACGCTGCGCGCAGCGCTGAGAATAATGTGGGCTCATCGTGTTGCCTTTTTTACAAATGTTGTGTCCTCCCACTCGATTCACACATTATGAGTATCCAATCATAAGGCAGATATATACAACTGTGTTTAGCATTTACATCTAAATGCTTCAACTTTTTACGTCAGGCACTGTTATTAGACATCGCTTCGAGCGAATTTGCAAACCTAGACCGCAAGATGTTCCTCAATTTAAGAGGCGAACACGCTAAACAATTCGGTATCGCAGAAACATTATTTTCATACGCCAATTTTACAAAAAGTGGCTCCGCGATTCAAGGAACAAAACCGTTATTAAGAAATTGTTTTTAAAACAGATAGCAGAAAATCAAAATTTTGTATACCGTTATAACATCGGAAATCCATTCTTTATTTTTTTGTTTACTTGCATGAAACCAATAAAAGACCACACTAACCACACTTAAAAACTTGTAACACATTCTTGTGCTTTTATATCCGTAAATTACAGATAACCCTAGCATCATACGAGCTCCATTCGCACTACTTCTCGAGTTTTTTTTCGATATTATTCACCGACAATATGGAGTTCACTGGCAGAGTTTGGAATTTTTTAATCCAACTGAATTAGGAATAAAGCGACTATATTTTGCAATTAGAGATACAATATACTATTATATATAGATACTATACTACTATAACAAGATTATGGTACTAATTACTTATTTACTACCATTGCGTTCACAATTTCTACTCATATTCCGCGTACCATTTAGCGCTCCCGCTTTTAGTTGACTTATCACTTCCTTACCCCAGACTAATTTTATATGGAACAAGTACCATAGCCCTTATTAATTATATCCACAAAATGCTTTTATTCATTCACTACAATTTCCTTTCGAACTTAACATCAGAATTAAATTAATCAAGATTTACTCAGATTAATACAAGCGCTAGCAGGAATTCTCAAAACGTAAATGAAAAAAATTACCAAATCTTTGACGGGTCGCTCATAGCCCTTACCATTTAATTACTTACATAAAGGTAGATGTGAAAAAAAATTGTACAACTGTAATCAAATGTATAAGCTGAAAAGACGAAAAGGTTTCATTTGGCACAGTTTTTTTGCTATCAGAAAATTAAACTATAGTGATTAAAACATATATACACATGCATACAGATTATGAGCATGTATTGGTAGAGTTATGCTTAATGGTAGGAAAAACGACGGAAGTCTGCACTGAAATATTGTGTCTGCTGATCCAATAGATGAGTCTATGTGTGATTTCGATCACTAAGTAAGGCGCTTAATTGCGAAAACAGCTTTAGGATTCTTAGATATAATTTTCTGGATGCTCATCATGATCTTGTTGTTAGGTGACCAATCCTTTAGTGCAGTAACGCAATTTTATTCCCTTGCATTTTTTTTGTATTTAGCATGTCCTTAGACATGCGAGCGATCAATGTCAGGGGAAATTTTTGATCACCAACCAGCCTAGGAAGACAAATTGGGAAAATACAAAAATCTATTATTTAATTGGTTATAGATAAAAACCTCAATTTTTATGTCGAAAACTGTTGCTGTGAGGAGTTACGAATCATGGCACATTTTCATATTTTTTTTTTTCAAATTAGGTTGAGAGGCATTAGCTTTTATATATAAAAATAGAGCTTGCTTATTCGCTTTTTAGCTCAAATTACACAAAATTAGTCGTGCACTAAAGCTTCAGCTAAAGAACAAAACTGTTTAGATTTAAATCAGCAGCTATACTTATAAACCACACGATATGGAGTATCGTAAAATTGCAATTGATATTACTGATACACCGCTATAGGAAGTCAGAGCCACCTACGTGCCCGCCGTAACCTACTAAACTACAAAACATAGTCAAGATCCCATGGAGAAATAACAATATTGACTATTTATTCGAATTTTAGAAAATCCAATTGAATTATTAGTCCTATTTGCCTCGTAAGCTACCTAGGCTTTATTAATCGATGTCAAAAATTAAAAGATAAATTGCACATTGTTTGCGTAACGATAAACGATCGGCGACCCCCCAGTTTCACCAAATCTCGGTTTCCTCTTCATATTATTCACTAAGAAGGTAGGAGCTTTTGAAATCAGAGGAAAAACGGTCGCCATTGTGTCCGACTTAGTATTAGATGATTTAAAAAAATAAATGCATTTCGCCGATAATTTCGACTGTTAAACACATTATGTATTTTAGCTTACAAAGTTCGGGAGGTAGCTCTTAATAGAATCGTAGAAAATTATCTGTTTTGTAAGAGCAATGGTCTCTATACCACGGTGGAGACCAATTAAGGATACATTCCGAATAACGGAAGTAATGATCCATATTGGTAAAATGTAACTACACGGTGAATTAGAATTAAGATCCAAAATAATTCGCAAAAATCACAAGGTCTCAACTAAGAATAAAAAAAAGTGGGTGCTCGAATCTAGGCACACTGTAAAATAGGCCTCTACAGATGATATCGCGTCAGCGATATGGATGTATAAACATTACTAAGCTTCAAAAAGGCGCTGCTTAAGGTGTTAATTTTGGAAACAGCCCCCTTTATATTATTAGTCGAACGCCATTAATCGGGCATAACAAACGCTTTTTCTTTAAGTCTCGACGAAGATAAGGGTGTGTTTGGTTTTGTCGTCGTGCTCGATCAAGTCTATTGATCACGATGTGTTGTTTTCAAAGAACGTAAATTTGTGGCAAAAAAAACAATAATGTTACTGCCCTTTCTTTAGAGAATTAGCCGTAAATGGTATCACTTCTCTTTTTTTATCGTAATGGGCGGCTTCTGTTCTTTGCTGTTTGAAAACACGCATTTATATGGGTACCGTTCGGTTAGTAAATAGTCCACTCTGAACAAGCGATTACAAAAATGCGTAAAAAATTGATTGCGCGTTACATGCTAAACGTGCTAAGATAAGATCAGAACCCGCAAAGTCTGAGCAAGCAATTGTGATATCCTAAGCCATTTTTCGAATTTCTAATATGCAGATAAAGTAAAACAAATAGTATCTGCGATCTTACCGGCTTTGATTTGTGTCTCTAAAATTAAGTATTCCGTACATTATCAGTTCGTCCTCTGTAACAACGCGGCTATAGTTTTCTTTTGGTACTTAGACGACCTCTTTGAAATTCGTTGACGTGCTTGTGACTGTAACAATAGAGAACAGCTGCTAGAATTTGTGGCAGCTTTTGATAAACAAGACGTTATATTAATTGTAGTAGTAAGATTGGGAAATTATATTTGAATAAATATACATGCTGAGTATTTACTTGCTATTTTGAAATTTTCAGGTTGTACCGAAGAAATTCGGCTCGATTGCACTGGAATGCATCCAAAACCTTCGCCTGCATGCGGGGTGTACAACGAGGCCACGCAATCCTATTTGTCGACGGTTAGTAATAAAGGCAACAACCTAGATCTCGATAAGCAACGCGTTCAACAAGTGTATAAGAGAAGGATATTACCATAAAATTATTTTTTATTTCAAATTTATAATTTTGATACCAAGAAATGACAATAAATTTCTATGTAGAATACTTTCACTATATCTAGTCGTACTAAATTTTAAAAGATTTTGGAATTTAATATTTTGTGTTGTTGTTGTGACATATAATTTTATTTTTAATATAAAAGCATTTACAATCCTAATATTACTATTGAAGAGCTATATAGGGGATGCCAAAATGGAATTTGTTATGAATGGAATATGAAGTCGACTATTACAATTTAAACAAGACATCATTATACGATAGTTCCTAAATTATTGCTTATTCATACTTTCTAGGGCTCGTACCAATTAAAATTAGAAATATTTCAATTGGGAGTATCGCTTTAAAATGCGTGTTCAGTCGCGTGAAGAAATGCAAGAAACATTGTTATTATTAACCTAGAAAGGTGACTTCCTAAAAATTCTATAAAGATCGTCAATGTGGAAAAAAAAATTTAACGAACCAAAATAAAACAAATTGAATTTTTAAATTCACTCTACTACACAGAGTCGATCGCTATGGTAATTGTGAATTAACTGTAAGATTAAGCGAAACATTTGATTTTTTTAGTTATTTAGGTCTTATGGGCGTTGAGTTTTTTCGGAGGTTGAAATCTTAGCAAATTTGGCCTGCTAACAACCAAACCTCAATTCCAGTGAATTTTTTGCATAAGGTATATTTTAGCTACACTTTTAGCTTACTATTTACGATAACACTATCGCAGCGTGTGGGCTTACAAATTATACTACACTTCGCCCTACTTTCAATGACTAGGAAATAGCTTCTAGTGATTTATTTACACCCAGGTTTAAATACTTGTACCTTCTTGTACATATCGCGTAATACACGTACTCACTGAACAATATTAATCGATATCCATTACTCCTTTCAATTTAATCTGAAATGGGTTTCAAGCAATTATTTGGACACGACTTTTAATTCGAGATAGATGTTCTGTTACCTTATTGCGTTGTCTGCGTTAATATATTATCGTTAGGTTTATTCATCCGTTAAAATTCTAGTGTTGCAGTTTGTTTCCGCTAATCCATTGTATTACCTTTTTTTTTAGTAATTCGATTTCATTGATTATAGTAGTTTTAGTAATCCGTCACTTTGTCTTGGTTATTTAGTAATTTTATACTGAGTCAGATATTCCGTAATCGTATTTTAGTTAGTCCATTATTCCGCAGAAATCGCCACACTCCTTTATCGATTATTTAACCATTCTATGGCAAATAATCCGTGACTTTGCTACCGTTATCCAAGTGAAGTTATACCGCGTCTCCGCTACAGTTATTCTTCTATCTTCAAGTTAAATCGGCCTTTAGAATTCCGTATAATCTTCGAATTTCGAAATTCTTAAAAACGAAACGAATATGCAATGTAGAAAGATTCTCTTGTTTTCTCTAGTTGTCGCATTTTTGGAAAAAAAAATTTAATTCTGTGGCAAAAGTACGAAAAATCTATTTTTTCCAGAAGATTTATATAGAATATGATAAAATAAAAATATTTTGCATTTATGTGATCAACAAATTCTCAACCGTCACTCAAATAACTGCCCAAAAGCTATAAGCGAGTTTTTCAGTAATCAGTCTTCAGCTCCAAATGCCCAAACTAGCTCTTATTCAATAGGGGCTAAGTGAAGCGATTAGCTTCGACATATATATTTGACTGTTCTCTGGTGGATCTACACAATGGCACTGATTTCAAGATCTTTCTATCTTAGTGATTGTAGATCGAGCCAGCATAGCAGTGATATATGTGTCCCCGAAAGTAATTCAGAAAGCCATAGAACATAAGAAGGTCCACAAATTCCTATAATGAAAGCGAGAGTAAAGCAAACTAATGTTGAATTCACTTAATTTATAAATTTTGGTAATTCTAGCCTCGATGACCGTTAAGACTTCGAAGGTGAAGTCCTATGGTCAGCAGTTAATAAAGATAATATTATACGATCATGCAACCTTGAAGTACGAACTGTGATAAACAGCACCATTTGACGACTATGCATAAAATCACGATCCTATTAGTAGCAGTACCTGGCCGTTTTCTTATAAATATTAGGCTGTTTCAAAATTTTATTAAAAATTCAAAGCAAAATACACAATTTTTGATAACCGGTTTACATCAATTGGATGTAATGCAAATATTTAATTTAACTCACAGTCGAAGATTTTATTTTGCGAAAAATCCCGCAGAAAACACTGCAACAGCATCAAATCGCATGCGCGGGGTGGCCAAAACTGATAATTTCAGTGTTTCAAATACGGATTAACAAGCAGCACCCTCTATGTTAAAAGACATTACTTATGTTGAAACAATTCGGTTTCGACAGCATTAAGTCCTGTACAGGATCTCAGTATATAACGAGAGCTATAATATTCGAGTAAAGAAATGGTCCGATGGCACCTTTGGCGCTTAGTCCACTTTATCAGGTGGCTTTAATTCCAGAAAGCGGTTTTTAGTAAAAAACGATGTGGAGCTTCTCATATGTCTACACACAACAGTTTTATTTGTTTATTCGTTTAGTCAGGAAATCCGTAGTATTTATAATATTATTCAACATGCGACAACATGTAGCAGCAGCCCGTTGGTTTATGAAACAAATGTGCGATGTTTCGCGTGATCTATAGGCTTAAACTTCTAAATAAACTATAGTTTACAGGATCAAACATTGAAAAGTACACGCAGGATTGTCCAGTAAAACAAACTTGACTGTTGCGGCCTCCTTGTTGTCAAACTTGTTGAAGTTTGTGACTTGTTGAACTTGTCGATGCTTAGTGATGTCGTCTGCTTGCATCATCCAAAAAGTACAAATTCTAGTTTCCGACACAAACAGTTTCGTGAGCTTTGGCGTCAACATTCTAAATCCTCGACCTATATCTAATCATTTTAATCTAGAGGTGTGCTAAAAGGGTGCGTAAATCTAAAAAAAAAAACGGAAACTCAGGCCTGTTTGGTAGCTGTTAAGAAATCGAACAAGCATACTGCTAGATCGTACGAAAGCAAGCTTATCACAGGACGGGCAGACGATCCCGTAAGCTTAGATATGTTAAATCACCCATATTTCCCTTCTCGAAAATGTAAATCATTCGGATAAGGCTGCTAGAATGCAAACTTTTGGTTTTCAATTAAAAAGTTGCATTTTTAGGAATATCAGCGGTAGCCTATATCAACTCATGCTTGCCAGACGTTTACAAGTATAAAATACAGAAACGACACTATTTAGGTTATTTTCTTCCAATATTAGTGGACCAAAATGCTCTTAGTAACAACAGCAGCCTTTAAACTCAGGACATTCACTACAGACTTGCAGCTCCCCGGCAGGTGCTAAACGGAAGCTATCTTCTAATCAACGGAAGCGACAACGGCAATTCCCTACGCAGATGCCATGGTAGTAATTGTGTACCGTGTGACGACCAACTGCACGGGCCGTACATATTATTTGGAAATCTCTTTTCATTTGTCGTGCAAACTAACCGAAGAGACGGATCCAACAGTCAGTCCTAGCACCAAGTGTTCACGTGCGTATGCTATCTTAACAAAGAACTGGCTCTTAGAGCTTGTTACGCTACGTCACATTTCCTATCCATCGCGTCGTAAAGCTGAAACGAAAGGCGGTTTTCCTTAGGGAGGCTCGGGTTTATGTGACAACTCGCATGCGAGAAGAAGATCAGACAGTTGTAATCAGCCGGTCGATACGAACAGTGTTAACAGTCGGTAAAGAAATTAGAGAGTCAGTACGACCTGCGCTCGGGCAAAGTTCCTACCATCTTTCTATCTCCTCGAAAACAAGATCTGAATACTGTAATAGCGGAACCTGAGAAGTACATATTCATTACAAATGGTCGGGTGGCTATTTTTTTCGCATGCAGGATGCCATACATGTTGGCAGTTCGAAAAAGAGATACGTGCGGTTAAGATATTTAATGCCACTCTAAAGTTCTTCCAACCAAGGTCGAAGTTGTATGCATTATCTGTACCATTGCTTAGATTGTGAAACAGCCAATGACATACTAACTTAAAAGGCGGTTCAAGTGAACGTTCTGTTGTCATTTTTTTTCTGAGAAGCACCCAACGACGGTTGTTATAGATAAAGAAGCGAGATGACTAAGAAGATAGCGAAAAGTTTTGTTAAAAAAGTAAATAAAAAATCAGTAATCAGCCGTAACCAGCCGTAATCAGCCAAAGTCAGCCGTACTCGAGTCAACTCTGTGTTCCGAATCCGGTATATTGGTGTAGAAGTATAGACGACGCACCGATTGGTATCCTCTGCACCAAACACGGTAACTGATACCGAAGTCTGATACTTTACACAATAGTATTTTGTTACTGTGCGAGATTTATCAAGTCACGCCCAAGCCACCAGCTGTGTACAAATTCGTGCCGATGTCGGTCAAAAGGTTTGTGACTAGTTAACAGTTTAGGCTGTTACAAGATAGACTTTGAAGTTTGATAACCTTTGAGATAGTTGAACTAGAATGATGATTTTTAAATATGCGTTAAAGGTACTCTTTTTTATTTTTCACACACTTGTCTCACTGCAAGCAGTTTCTGGTCAGCTATATATCTACCATTCGTCTTTCTATATATATATATATATGTATTTCTCGATGTAAGTAAATAGTAGAATATGCTTGCCCACCTGTTGTCTTTTTAGGGTTGAGAAGCCTTGTAATCGTACGGACTTAGATCAACAGCATAAACGGGTGCAAGCCAACGTTAAATATTTCTTTGCTTAATATAAGGAATCAGTGATGATGGCCATTGCAGGTACTATTATCATTTACTCCACATTGCTATCGAATTCGGTTTCTGTTCAGATCGACGCTATTATCTTGCTAGATCCGTTTTCTACTGACAGTAAAGATCGCACCGTGCCTTGTTTATGGTGATCGTATCCTTCAGATAGATTTTTTTGTTAATCAAGGTTTTGTAGATTGCACGTGGAACGCACCACATGCAATTCCAGTTTGCCTGGAGACAATTAGCAAGGAACCCATTTTTTGCATTTTCCCTGTTTTTTTTTTATAATCCTGTGACACATTACATATAAAAATGCTAATTTCAGCTAAAGGAGCTCTTAGACCCTAATGCCTGTTTTCACGAAAGGCCTTCTCAATTGGGATCCTCCAACATCTGGTCACCTCCTCGCTGGTATTCAACATTTTAGCTTCCATTTTTGAAACGTCTGAATTATTTACGTGCAATTATACTTATGCTTAAGGTTTCCTTTTCTAATACCTTCACCAGTATTCGATAACGCTGTGGTTTTCAAGGAAAGAAATTTGCCCACTGAACGTTGATTTTCTAGAATAAAGAATGTTTTTCGATCTGAAATGGTTTCTTTTAGAATAAATGCAGTCGATTTTCAGTCACGAGTTTCTAGAAGATTGGCATATTGACCAGCCAAGATGTGTCTGTAAATCGTGCGTAGTTGATAAGTCATTCGGTTTCAAGGACCATCAGATTCACGTACCTCGACCAAAAACATTTTCCCCGTGACTGACTTATCCATTTAGATAAACGACCAGTAGCATTCAGGTGATGCGCGCGCGCCATACCTTTGTTGATATAAGTTTAACAATCGATTCCCTATACACTTGTATAGACCCGTTTTCAAATCACGCTGCGTTGTTTACGTTTAAAGAACCTTTGACGAGACATCGGTACCATTTAGAGTCCGTTCGATCTACTATTTAAAATGATGCTGCACGACCTTTTGAGTGCACGTAGATACTTCTGCCACTGATGATGAATTGCACGGCTAATCTGTGTCATTAATGTTGAAAACGGTGCAGCCTCGGTTTCAAGTCTAATTCGCGTCTTTGTATGCATATAGAAGCGTTGAGCATCACAGATTACTAAATGCGGTTCCTCCAACACCAGTATATGACCTTTGGGCAAAACTTCTGTGTATCTTGATTAACAACTGCACTATGCTGGGCAGTACTCTTGTTTTTATAAGCTTCCAGTTCGAAAACTGTGGTCAACACGCGTTTCTAATTTAAATGTTTTACTATTTCCAACAATTGTTTTAAAGGCTAAATCGGTTAGTGCTGAAGACCACCATGTTTTCAGATCAGCTTTTATAGAAATTTCTCTAAAACTCAATGCCATTTTCACCAAATTTGTAAACTAGACAAGGATCATAAGTATAAACCGTAGGACAGGGGAGCCCCATAGTCTTTAAATCAAGATTTAAATACCCATTGAATGCACTCGGATCTTGAGATAGTTTATTATGTTTGTTACCTATGTTTATTCTATCCGACTGAAAGCAATTAGGGAATATTGCTTTAACGCTGCTCAAAAATGCATAACTTTACAATTTGCGTGAACACCATCGCTGTTTTATTTCTGTAACAATAACTTATTGTACTATGTATTCTCTGTCGCCCTTCATGACTTTCTTCCATCTTTCCATTGAATGCTGTCTCGCTAGAAGGTAGCGACTTTTGTCTCAAAAAATGTGTCAAAGGTAAGGCTTTAAATGTAATCATCTAAGTGAAAAATGTGAAAGTCCATTAGCGCAAGGTCCGGAAATATGAAAGGTGCAACAAAATTTCCAATTCGAAGTCTAGAAGCAGAGGTTTTATGATATTCGGCGTGTGTTGTTATGGAGCAAGATTTCTAATGAACCACACTTTCGCTATTTTTTAACTCAAACACAAAGCATAATCTGATTAAACTCCGGGCCTTAGCTTCTCTCCTCGAGCTACTTTTTTCGATCTTTGGTTCATGTTGATGTACAGACACGCTTGTCATCGCTAGCCACGATTCGGTGCAAAGCATTGTAACCGCGTGACGCTCGAGGTCGGGCGTCGTGTTGAGATACAGTGTTAAACCGCAATTCCTCGCTGAATTCAAAAAGTTCATAAAGTACTCAAACTTCGAGTTTGTGGATGAGCCCAACTTACCATGACGAGGGTTATGTGGCTGAAGCTCATCTTTTCAAATCCTTGGTTGAGAGTGTCGAAGATGCACTTTTCTAAAAAACTTTCTATCTGAAATTTTACTCTACAAGCTACAAACTAGCCGTTAGTGATCGAGTTGGATGAGCCTTCGAACGGTATATAAAAAAAAAAAACAACAAACGAAAAAATGCAGGAAAAGGAAAGTTTTTTAACCTAATATATTGGTACATTTGGATAGTTTTTTTAGCGTAAATGTTTGTAGTCCAATCCCGTAAAATAAAGGTCAGTTATTTCTTACAGCACTACATACTGAACAGTACCTGCTCAGTATGAAAACGTCAATCCAAAAATGAACAGTCGTAGATTACCTTACATTCCATAACTTTTGTCTTTAATAAAAGTATGTTTACACATTTCTCAACGGCGTTATAAAACTCTATTATACCACTACAGTACATTGCAAAATGCCTTTATTCAAGGTACTATTACTATTAAATCAATATCTTTACTCTTATTATTATGATAATGACCATTATTATGCCATATCTTGGTTTGTAAGAAGTCAATGAATTTGATATTGTTTTGTTCTCTGTTTAACGAATTGCAGGTACCATTCGACACCGTACATCTAGTTAACGGTACATACGACGTGAAGTTACACAAGATCTTTAGAATTAAAGACTGGATCGAGTATAGAAACATATCGTTTCGATGTCATGTCATTGTTCTCGGCACAGAATGGCGGACCGGTGAGCTAAAAAATATTTTTTCAAAAGTAATTTTTTCACAAATAAATTAAAAGTGAATACCTTCGAAATATTTTTTTAACAAATAATTTATAAGTAGAAAAGTCATGTGGGTCTAAAAATATGTCAGCGAGAAGTCGGTTAAATCAGTAAGACTGACCGTCTAGCTGCTGTCTACTATCATGTTTGAAATAATTGACGTATATTCGTATAACACGGTTAGCCATAACGAAACTGTAAGCAGAATACCTTAGAAGAACGCTATCAATGAGTATACTTAAAATAAAAGCTGACGTATTATATAAAATGTTAAAGACTGCCATAACTTAATTTATAACAGACAACGAACAAAGAAGCGCATGCAAACCAAATGGATAAAATATACATATGCGTGTTTACCATTAAAGGGGACAAGCTCCGGCAGATTATCATATTTATTACGATATGTATAGAATGATGTAGAAAAGTTTTTGCTCCGAAAAAAATTCCAGGGTTGAGCTAATGGTTTTAGCACCTACATTCTTTTACCTGGTTAAGTTGCCTCTTTCAGACATACGTATGGTACCTGTTTTAGACTACGAGAAACATCTTTAAAATATCAAATTGTATTATATTTTTTTGCTGACTTTCGCTAACATTTTAAACCTTTATTTCATTATATAGAATGCGAGGAAATCAACTTGTTAAGTCGGTTAGACCCAACGATGGAAGTAAAATAACAGATTAATTCTTTAGAAAAGGAAACTAGAAAAACTTAGAAAAGGAAGTGTGGAACTGTGCATTGTTACGGTACGAAAACTCGCAAGAGTCCTAAGTAAGAGCTCGTTACAAATGTAGATTGGTATTCAAGGTAGTCGAATCCCTCGTGGCCGTTGATATAAAGGTTCAATTAGGTTGAAATGTGGACTCAGTGTTATTAAAGACTAACGATATTGGACAACCAAAACCAGGCAGACATAGATTCCTTAGTTTAACGTCATGTCTAAAATTTCAGGAATTCGTTGTCAATATACAGAAGCGAACGGAAATATCATTTCTATGCAAGACCCATAATACCCCAAGCTTAGTGCTCAGAGTTTAGGTTGGCTTTTGTCGGTATACCACATACAAGCAGTTTTGTTGGAACGGCTTACTAGTAGATGTATGTATAAAATAAACTAACTGTACTTTACTCCATTGTAAGGAGTATACAGCATGTAAGGTAAGAAGTAAGGGAGGGTTCATTGTAGTAAGTCAAAGGCTCAAATTGGCAGAAATTAAGCTTCAGAGAATTATTTCACATTTAATTCTATCTATTGTTGTATCATCTGTGACTGCAAATTATGTTTGAAGTGGCACGAAAAGTATCGCGACACTTTTATTCGACACTTATCTGACTCCTAAAAGAATTTTCTTTCATAAATATATTTTCTCAGTGTCACTGGGATGTGGGTAGCTGGAAGCACCTATCTTTTCCCGCTTTAATTGGCTTTAAAGGAGAATTTCGCACAAACTCAATTTGGCATTTTCCTTCCATTTTCGCTTGCAGCTGTCGTTGTTTATTTGTGCTCTGAATAAATTTTCTTAGATTTAGCTCCACTGCAATCAGTTTAACATTACAATGCTTCGTTTATCTGTACATAACGTTTCGTTTGTTCAGGTATGACCCATCGTCTGTTTGGCGACCCTGGTTGTCTTAAAGACCCGCCTGAGGTACGCAACGGCTCATTCAACCTAACGGGAGAACAGACATGCTGGGGCACACCGGCTGAAGGCGCAGTTGTACAATATTCTTGTCCTGTTGGATTAAGTGTTCGCGGGCATCAGAAAATGGTTTGCAAGAACGGCACCTGGGTGGGAGTTGTCGGCAACCGAAATTTGGACGAACTAAACTATTCACCATTGGAGATCATCAGCTGTGGTTGGTGTCATAATTTATATAGAAACGAAAATTGCTGTATGTAAATTTTCAATGTTTGTACTAGGTGCAGGTATCTGTTCTATGTGTTATGTTGTATTTTGTTCTTTTTTTTTTTTGTTTCCTTCGCTTAGTCCCGAAACTAACTTGAGTAATGGCAACCCATCAAGATACGTCACAGTCTCTTTCTTCGGACCACTTGGCAGATACCACAAACATGACAGGTTCAATCTGTCTTTAGTTTCTTCCTTTATTTTGCAGGCATAGGGTATATACTTGCAGAGTCCTTTTCGGCTAATGTCTAAACTAACCTCGCTTTGATTTTAATTTATCTCAATAGCAAATAATGATTTCGCTCAATTAGCATAGAAATTTTCCAAGGGATTAGGAAAAATGGCTCTGCTATCGTTTAAGTGCTAAAGACATGCTTCTTAATTCGAAAAAAACACTCAAGTTGAACAAACACAATCTTGGGTAGCCGAGAACGTTATATCTAGTTGCGAAATCCGAACACTACTTCAATCGGTGGCCTGAACCAGGAAACGTTGAACGCAAATTGTTCAACATAAATCTCGCAAAGAGCCGTCGAGCCTTCCTCGTCTAGTAGATTTCCTTTCGAAGTGCCACTATTAATGTTTTTTTTGCTGAGCTAATTACCTAGAAAATGTCCAAAGCACTTTTGATATGAACGGATTTCTTTTCTGTGTTATATCTAGTATTCATCTGCACCTAGGCCCTGGTGCTAAATACTACGATTCAACAGAAAGAAGTAGCTGTATTTATGTAAAGAAATGGCAAATTTGGAGACTTCACTTGATGATTTTACCTATTTGTCCCACTTAGATAATGCTTGACCTAATCTACTAGAGGGTGATAGCGGGATCATCTACTACTTGCTTGTGCTCTCCGGTTCTAAAACCATTCTTCCCATACCTTAAATAGAAGGGCTACAGTAATTTTTTACGATATCTTCTTGCGCAACGGAAAAAAGAAGTAAATGTCATTGACCAATACACCAAAGTGTCTCCAAAGAAAAATATTAGGCTTTTTGACGAGAACTAGATAAATAATGCAGTTTCCTTTCTCCCATTTTCAATTTTATCAAACGTGCAATGCAAATTATGTTAGAACGTATGGTCAAGCGGGCGCCAAGCAGACTCGTCTTCCATTAGGTCTCAGGGGAATTCAACAGCGTAAAGAAAGGCTAAGTATTTTATAAAAAAATCTACTCCGCTATACTTTGAACATAGTATAAGTCTTCCACACCTAAGCAGTATGCTTGCAGAAGTTTTCGTACGTTTACTACTAGAGATCCTAGGTTATATGTGAAGCTATCGAATAGGGTGCTTCAATGTACTTAGCAAATTTGCCCTTTTTGTCTTTTTCATAAAACGTGAGGAGAGCCATCGTCCTAGTCGCAATCGAACGTACGAAACTTCGTTGTGATTTGCTTCAATGATTCACGTAGACAAAGCAAACTGCATTAATAAAAACAACCGGCTTTTGGCCACTGACCGTTACCGGTAACCTATTACCTTAATTGTTGGGAGCATGCTAATGTAATAGCTTCGTGTACCAGGTTCTGGATGCTATGAACATAGATAATGCTGTTTGTTCGAGCCGTACAGAGTAACGAGCCACACGATGGCAACAGCACCGATTTATTTCGGCTTCGTTTCACCAGTCTGCTAGTTTCGAAAAGCGGGAACTTCTCGTAGATGTTACGTTTCTATGATCTAATGCTTTTGCTGATTTGCCTTGGGGTTATGTGGATGATACGGTCAATCAATCATGAAATGCTTGTTTATATTAGTAAAGCTTGAAGGGTAATTCGAGCGACATTGCGTTTCGCACATAAATGAGAGGAACATAAAATGAAAATCTTAATTAGTTCAATTTGTACGTTTTTCAAGTGCAATCGAATCCGCTGAGGACATTGGAGCATCCTACTTACCGAACCGGTAATAATATCTTTAGGGTCAACATGAAATCTTAGCTTAAACAATTGCAAACAATTAATGTATTGATGAGAGTCTGTAAGGTGTCATAAAAGAATATGAGAAAGTCTATGTGAAAATTTCGCGTATTCTCAAGCGTCAAAGTTCTATAAGCAGAGTTACATGCGATAAGGCGAAAGTAGCGCAGCCTAATACACTTCTAAAATAGGACTATATTCTTGTAACTATTACCTAAGCCTAATTTTCAACCAAAATGTAAAACTATGTATAGCATAATATCTTTTACCGGAATATCTGTTTCCCTATGTCATGTATAATTCAGTCTGTAGTTAACCTCTAAATAAAATGTCGTGTTTTCACGACAGCTGTGATAAGCTTTCACTGTTTAATTTTGGCGAAATATCATTACAGTATCGATTCCTGCCATGTCCTGTAGCGACGCTGTTACCTACGATATGGTTGTAGGACTATACACTGGTTTATACGGAACGTTCCTCCGTTACAATTCGGACGACATAGCGGGTTTGTGGCCGGCTTTAGCTTTGTAGCTAGGAACATTTTTATAACTAACTTGGTTCACTTATCTAGTTAAGTACATAAAGGTTAGCATCCAGAAGTGCCAACAACAGTTCTTCTAGGTAGATCTGAATAGGTAAGCAATGCTTAATGCTAAATAGAGAAAGCAGACGAACTGAGGCATTTGTTTCTGCTGAATTATTTATTTTTGTCCTTATTTTTTGTTTCACAACACATGAGCAATATTTTGATAACAACCAATTTCGGCACGAAGTCCTTTTGCGAAAACCTACGTTTTTAAAAAAAAATTACACCTTTCGAAATCTTTGAAATCAGGTAAGTACAAACTATGAGGCAATACATTATTACATCTTGGCTTTATCTTTGCCTTGATATTGCCGGTGATTTATGAGATTCTATGAATCATCACATGTGATCGAGGCTTACATGTCTACCTATTATAATTATTATATAATATAGCGACTTGTTTGCTTAACAAGATAGAATTTGGAGGACGACAGTTAGCTCTGCATTTGGAACAAAGCAGACAGACCGAATAACGCAACATATGTATATAATAATAATGCAATTATGTAGTTATATAATTATTATGTATACGAAAAACTGTTCCAATGTTTGGACGGGCTGGGTGCCCAATTATGCTTTTAATATCTATTCAGAGGCCATAAGAGGTGTTTAAAAAACGGTAGCTAACCAATTAATTTTTAAGCCCAAAGTATTGATTTTTTCTTTGATAGTACGTATTCCTGGTGCATTTGTTTTCTATCAAAATAATTATACAAAGGCGATTGATGCAAGACCAAAGAGAGAACGCTGTTTAAAATTCCACCAAGCATCAAGAAATATTGGTTACTTGTGTCGTCGCAAGTCCATCGCCGACGTTTGGCTCTACTTCTACGTAAATGCGCCGCAATAACTTACCTGCCCCTTTCGCGCATTTCCTGTGTGCGACTGCGCCAAAATTAGTTATCACGAACCGTGACACTTCACATACGAATGAGGCAATTTTCTTGTAGTAACGTCTGTCAGCAGATTAGTTTCAACGCGTGTTAAATTAGACATATATTTTTGAAAACTTGGACGGCTTCCAAGTAAATTCTTTGTAGAACTTACACAAGATCTAGTGGAATATCAGTAGGATTGCGGTAATGCTCCTCCTAATAAAGCAATCTTCTCAAAAAAATGTCTATTTATCGACAGAATTTACAAGCAAAGATTTACCAAGTTCAGCATGCTATTAGATGATTGGCCGCATCGACCATCAACCAAGACTAAACATAGAAATCGACGGCTGTGCTCATTCGGAATACATAAACTGCCATGCAATGACCAACGATGGTTTATATATCTAATGTGGGACCATATTACGGTGGAATGAGCTTGTTCAAATAGACAGGCACTTTGTTCCAAATATTGTGTAACGCCACACGTTAACGTTTAATATCGTATGTTTAGGTGGTAAATTTTCGACGATAAAATAAGCTGAATACTCAAACATATTAACTTCTTGATAAATGAATATGATCAGTATCAAACATAGCTTAAACTCCGAATCGTTTTTTATAGTCAACTAACTCAAGGCAAGAGTGGTTCAAAAGTGGAGAGTACATACATGCCAATTTTGCACGAAACGAGATAACGGATGTGTAGTATATTCACACAAGTTTCAGTTACTTCGAATATTCCGATTCAGACATAGCACTATTTCGAATTTCTATGCGTTTGTCAAATGAGTGGATCAAATGTTTGACTCTAAACTTTTTCTATACTGACGTTCTCAAAATTATCTTCATTTCGAAATAAACATATACTCTCTTGTTAAGTGACGAAATTACTGAAGCTGGAGGGCTTAACAGTGCAAAACAAAACAGTCTTAAACCCTAATGCTTTGATCAAAGCGTTCAAAGACAAGCTGTTTAGATTCGAAACCTTAACTGTTGGTTATTCTTTGATTTCAGCGGCAATTGATCAGTCCTGTTTCGAAACTAACGCAGTTGGCTGCGGATTGTCTGGAAGGTTTAAAAATATTTCACAAGCAATAATGAGTGTATGATGCGAAAATCCGTACAAGGTACATAAGAAGTTAAGACGCACTGCTAAGTCCTCCCTAAAACTTTTTTTGTACACGACCGAGCTTTGAAGCATTCATGCTATTTTTAACGTCGAAGTTTGATTTTCAGAGGAAGACAGCGCCTCTTCAGTAAACGTTTCGATGGGCCTGCTTCTCTTTTTGATGGTCTGCAGCTTACACATACAATAAAAAGCTTCTTGGATACTTGCCTACCTACGCTAGAGGGTTTATCTACATAATTGGATAACGTAATGGTAATACTGGTTGCTTCAAAGTGTTTGAGGTAAGTTGCAAAGACGAAGACATTCAATAATACATCTATTTTCATTCAAATTTGATTTCATTTCATTTCAAAAATGGCTGAAATTATTCAAATGGTAGGCTTTAAATTTTGTCTCCATTAGCTCAGTTTCTCGGCTGTATTTAAAGCATTGTCGTTCTTCGAGCTCTGCATTTCTTTGCATTCTGCTATAAACTTCCGCATTAGGCATATGCGTAGCTTTAGAGAGAATGACATTTGGACATTGTCTTCTACTTTCATTAACAAATCACAATGTGATGTTGCTAAAAAATTTCGATAGTCACTGTGTAAAAAGCCATTTTGATTGAGTCTTGTTTACATTTTTTTTGTAGTCTCTGCTTCTGCACCTACGCAGGCGGTCGTAACGAAGCATTCCTTGATCATCCATTACTTACTAACTACTAACCACCCATCCATTACTAACTTAATAATTTTGACAAAAATAGTAGTAAAAAAAAAAAAGGTAATACCAACTGTTCACGCTGCAATAGTAAATAAAATTCTGTGACTTAACTTTGCAACCAAAGTAATAATTAGGCATTAAATCTTGAACGTATTTTCTCACCACAGCTTTCTTGGAATATAGGTTTTAATGGGAAATAATGAATCAGCCATATTGGTAAATCAATCTTATTCAGAAGTAAAGTTTGCTTAAATATGTTAGGTTCGACTTCTAGACTGAGGTACATTACGATTACATTATTTGAATTTTATAATGTGTATTCGATGTGCAGGTGCAGTAGACGGAAAGCAGTCATATCTTCCCTGCGTAGGAACAAACTTTACCATCGACAATTTGTACATAATGCAATACTCCACAATGGAAAAACGACGCTACACTTTCTAAGGGTGTAATAGTTACGACGTATAAATGTCATTTTCACATTTAGTTGCTGCTCTTATCATTGTTTTTGCATAAGTTTATTAAACAGATAAGTAAAACAGTTGTTGGCAACCCAGATCAACATAATTAGCAAATAAGTTAGACTATGGGCAAGAAAGGAAGGACTGACACGAGGCATAAAGCAGAAATCAGTGACCTAAGTTGACGCATAGAACAGAAGAGTAGTAAAGCAAGAATATAACTCTGAGATATAAATGAAAAAGTCAAAATGAGGTCAGCTTAAACACATGCCTAGATGATATTTGCGAATGAAACGCAGAAACCGTTAACACGATAGGCATCGCACATAAACATCCGCCTCCCCCTCCGCCGACCCCTCCGCCGAATGGGGAGGGAGTTTAGCCGGAAAAAAACTGGTCTTTTCATTAATTATTCAACGAAGTTGAGATATAAATAATAAGGCACTATTAAGAAGAACAAGGGGTATATTTAGGTCCTTTCGAAATGGCGGCCATTCCTATTATTACACAATCATTGACAAAGACCTCCTATATAAGGTCTCTAAGCATAAAGAAACAGGCAATGCTGTTCAATTTACGCATTGATTGAGACAACTTACACCGAATAACGACAGCGAGAGCAATATTGAAAGCATTGAAAGACTTGAGTGTCTGCATCCTACGATAAAGCGGTGCCATATCTTTTTGTCTTACCTCATCATTGATTTCCGTACGTGAGTGAATACCAACAATGAATATTTGTAATAAGATTAATACAAAACCATATATGGACAATATATGACACGCAATGTTACAAACTGAAGTAACGGTAACGAAAGTATAAATAAACTTTTTTTAATATAAAAATAACTTGTATGTCTGATTTACTAGTGCGTTATTTGTTAAAACATGTAAATCCTGCTTTCAATATGAAAGCCCTCTGCTTTTCAAAGTCTCGTCATGTAAAGTACTATGATTCAACTATACACTTGTCCTTTGAAGTAGCAAGGTCTGCCTATATAGTTATATCATAATCCCGATTTTTTTTATCTCCTCAGTTCAAACAGCTACTTTACGTTTGTCAACTGGAAGTGTTGTTATATACACGGTGAGGAAATTGCTTGCTACAGTGCGTCGTTTTTTGGTCTTCGAGTTTTGCACTATTTTAGGTTACCTAAGCGATTTCAAATAGAACAGGCACTTTGTTAACCAGTTTACCAGGTAATATATGTTGGCTAGTTGGTAGATTGTTTCACATTTAAGCTCTCAGGTGAGTTTCAGATAGCACAAACTGTTCTAGGATATATTGGCTACATTGGATCGCCCAAATAGATTGGACTCTCACTTAACCACACAGCCCCTCAGAAAAAACCGCGTAACAAACAACTGAGTAGGGTATTTGGATAGGGTACATTTAAGTTTTTGATGTGTATTTCTAGCTTTGATATTGGTTTTAACGCCAGGCAATGATTCAGACACGCTCGTGACCCACAAGAAGCTTGAGTTGAAATTCCGCTAATGCAAATATATCATTAATATTTATTTACATATAAATATTAATGATATATTTGTATTTATATTTATATTTATTTAATTTATTATTATTAATAACTTAATATTTACATATAAATATTAAGACAAATAAAAAGTTTATTGCCAGAAATGCTTCCAGTTCTCATGCACGCTATATAATGCTCGAAGAGGTTGATTAGCCTAGTTAAAATTTGTAAGGGCGTTAAGTTCAAGTAACTATGATTACGCGTTGTTCAAACAATGTAAAGAAAAACTAGCGGAATTAGTTTCTTGTACTGCTTTTTAGATTTCTTATTTGAATACATTTATAGTGATTATCTTATTTCTTTTTACGTGTGAAGTTTGTGGGAAAATGTCGCAATATTTAAGTGACATCGCCCATCTGGGCGTCTATGCATCGTTGATTTAGTTCCACGCCCTTAAATGCATTAGAAACAACAAGGGGGAGTTTGTATTATATAGAGGCCGTCTTGTTAGCCGTCCATCGAATTTCAGTGGATATCACTTTGATGATGCTTTAAAAAAAATTAAGTTGTCGACAGGGTCTCACCTAATTGAGACAAAATATGTTTCTCAATCACATGTTTTTGACAATACTAGCTGCAGAAAAAAGTATTTAAGAGCGACAAAGGCTGTCGATGTATCGAAGCGAATTGGATGCCCTAGGAAAAACGAAAACAATATTCACTAAGCTAACCAAAATCGTCAGATTTCCTCAGGTGTAGTCCATCGTGCTTACAAGATCGAATAATCTTGTCTTGTACTTTTACGAATCATTGCCGTTTCACGTTCGGTGCTCAAGAAAAACCTCCAGACATGCCTAAGGAGATCATAATTAAGTGGATCCAGCATGTCAACCCAACTGAACATGATTTAGCCAATTCAGCGCCGATAGTGAGAAAAGTTGTCCGTGCCGCACATGCCGCACGGTGAGAGATTGGCGGAAGTTTGGGAGTGAATAAGTAAGTAGGAGTTGAGAAATAAACTTTAGTTACACAGTCTATATGAGAGTGATTATATGGAGGTTGCTTCTAGCACGTCTTTATGCACTCTTAAAAAGCCGCATTAAAGTTGACATACTCGTCCGCTTAGCCTATTTCTTTGCTAGTTGGCTTTAGGACTCTCCTAGTCAGTGTCCGGACTCCTTTATGTAGTCCCCGGATTCTCGTAATTAGTCTTTAGATTCTTCTACTCGGTATTGGAACTTATGAGTCAGTCTCCGGACTCTTCTAGTCAGTCTCCAGATTCTCCCAGCCGGTTTCCGAATTCTCTTTGTCAGACTTCGTACTTTTGAGTCAGTCCTTGCACATTGCTAGTCAGTCTTCGGACTCTCGTAGTCAGTTTCCGGTCTCTGCTAATCAGGCTAGGGGCCTTCGAGGACAGTCTCCATATTCCCCTAGCAAGTCTTGGGCTCTTCCAATCAGTCTATGTACTTTCCTAGATAGTTTTTGGACTCTTCTAGTCAGTCTTCGAATTTTCCTACTCGGTCTCTGGACTTTTTTTAATCAGTCTCTGAACATTCTGAATCAGCCTCCGGACTCTCCTAGTTAGTCCTCAGCTTCCTTGAGTCAGTTTTTGAATTCTTCTAGTTAGTCTTTAAACCCTATTAGTCAGTCTCCGTACTCTCCTGGTCTGCTTTCAGACTCCACTAGTCAGTGTCCGCGTTGCCTTCGTTAATTTCCGGACTCTCGTAGTGAGGTTCCGGACTCTTCTAGTCCGTCTCCTGACAATCCTAGTTAATCCTTAGACTTTCCAGTCATCTTCCGGACTCTCCTAGTTCGTCTCAGGACTTTCCTAGTTAGTCTTTAGACTTTCCTAGCCAGA